AATTGCACATTATTGTTGAAAAATATATATATATATATATATATACAAGAATAATAGGAGTTCGTGCACTCTCTACTTAGTTCAAAATATGTATATGGGTTTCATACTTTTAAACATAGTTCATACGTATGCAAAATATACATAAAAATAAAAAGTAATTATATGAATAAGTGTAAATAAGTAAAAATATGAAATCTAAGTAGCAAATTATAAAATTTGTATGTGATAATGCGATAACTGTTTCATAATATTGCCTTTTATTATTTCAGTATTAAACAGGTTGATTCATAAAGAAGTATACAGTTTCAATGCACTATAAATCAAGAACAGTGGAAGAAATTGTATGTACCTGCAGCAAAATTGCGTAAGATTATTTTAAGTTTTGTTAAGGACAGTCACAAATATTCTAGAAATGACCCCTTAGTCACACGACCTTGGCACACGACACACCTCGAGCAAGTAGTCCATTTCTACCCAAACGCATGTTAAGATGTGAAAGCGCAAGAATCAAGTATCATGATATTGACTGTGATACTCTGTTAAAGATCAACTGAAAGATGAGGGACGAATACTTTGTACTTTTTTTACTAACACTATGAAAAATCACACGGTGTTAGGTCAGGACTTCTGGATGGCAACGGGTTAAGTTGCAACTGACGAAGTCCTCGGCTTGTACAATCAATCGGTGAGGAAGATATACATCGAGGTAATCTCAAGCGCAGGTCGACCAGTGTGCTGGTGGTGCGCCACCCAGTTGAAAAATGAAATTGCCATGTTGTCCTGCAAACTGTGCCATCAACTAGAGAGTTAGCGTATCCAAAAAAAGTGGCTTCCATGATGGATTATTTTTGACATGCGCTTGGATGAAAATGGATTAATAGCTCAAAATGTGTCATGTGACTAAAGGGTAACCCATAGAAACATCTGCGACTGTCTCTAACAAAACTTAAAATGACCCCCATGTTAGCCGCGATGGCTCAGAGGATAGAGCGTTTGCTTTCCAAAGAGGTGAACCAGGTTTGAATCCTGGCGATGGCTGGTTAATATGAATTCCGCATCTGGCTTGCACCGACCACAGTGCTGACGTGAAATATCCTCAGTGGTAGACGGATCATGGATTAAAATTCCCTTGCCGTCAGGCTAACCATGGGAGGTTATAGTCTTCCTCTCCACGTAACGCAAATGCTGGTTAGTTCCAGCAAAAAGTCCTCCACGAAGCCAAATTTCTCCCAATACTTGATCCCTTGTCTTCTGGATTGGGTTTAAATTGCAAGGATACGGAGTTAAACATTAGTTGCAGGTATCTTACAATGTTCTTGATTTATAGTGCATTAAAACTGCATACTTTTTTATGAATCACCCGGTATAATTTACTAGCATTCTACAAAAATCACAAGTACTCATTCCAGACTATATGAGAAATTTTATTTATAATTTAGTTACTTTATGATCAGAAAATCCTTTTCGTGAAATTTTAAAAATACAATTTTTGAATTTTCATATAAAACTTTTTTCAACTTACCTCCTTGGTCAAGAAAATATTGAAATCCCTCATTGAGTTTTTCAAGCATCTTTGAATAAATTTGGAAAAGTGAGCTTTTTCAATTTTTAAGAGGATTTGTTGACCCAGATTAGTTTTTCCTGTTGACTTTTTGCAAATAAAGAGGTGAGCAATCGAATCTGAAAAAGAAAATGATAAAACTGTTAGGCAAAATAGTTTGTTTATACAGCTGATTGGTTCTTTTGTGAAAAGATGACTGAAGGTCACTTTCATTATTTAAAAACAGGTCATAAAAAATTCTTCTTCATTAAATAGTTTTCAACAATACTCTAATTTTCAATAATATTATGTTACCATTTATCGTACGCCGCAAACTTGTATTGTTCGTCAAGAAACACAACAAAATGAAGGCTTACTTAAAAAATAAACTTTATGAGAAGGTTTTAAAGCCCTGTTAACACATAAATCTGTTTTTTAATCACGCTTTCGTCAAACAATTAGAATATATATTTTCCTCAAAGTGGCTATGTTTTTTTATAAAAAAGTGTCTTAATAATTAAGAGCGTAATAATATGCTTTATTGCTCTATTTTTTCCTTATAAACATTTCCTTACAGAATTTATGTGTTTTATTAAAATATGCAAAGGAAATGAAATATTGGAAGACATAAGTTTTACCGAAAATAAATTTGCTGAGTATTTAGACTAGTAGAAAAATTTATTTAGGTAGTAAGACTGGAGGATACATTATAATAAATTTTATTTTGTGTTTTTATATCCACAATAGAGTTTACTAATGAATTGAACTTGTTAAATTGAAAATTTGCTCAAATAATTGTTCGTTTTTAACAATTAAAATTGTTTTATTATGCAAACTCCTAAAGTTTTATTTTATGAAAGAATATCAGTGAATGAAAGTAAAAGCTGTAATCACAAATTGTTTAGATATTTCCTTTTTTATTAAAAAAACATATTGGTTGTTCTTGAAGCTAATAAATTTGGTGCTGTTTGAATAAAAAAAATATAGAAAAAAAATCGAAAATTTATATTTTGCTTGAGGGCTAAGTAAGCCAGTTAAAGTTATTAGGCAAACAAAGTAAATCAGATTTTGTTTTGATCTGAAAACCAGAACGAAACAGAAATGTACGTTTTTCTGGAAAGCTTAGAAAATTAAAAGCGTAATCAGATATCAATTAGTTCTGGAGGTTCCCAAGGGTAAAGCGAGCAGGGCAAATTTATTGAAATTAAATGGAAACAAAATCAAAGTTCAACGGGGTTCTTCACATTGGGGTAATGAATAAGAGAAGGGAACTTAGTTTGCGAAGCGATCAGAAAAGAACTTTGTTGATTTTGTTCATTCCGTCATTTTATTCCGTTCCGTTATTTCATTTGTATCTGAACAATTGAAATAGCATACAGTACCCGGATGAGTCTTAATCTAAAATACTGAAAAGAAGCAGAAAAATCATTTTATATTCAACTTTTTCAGTATCGAAACTCAAAAAGGTCTTTCAAAAAAAGTAAATACAGGTGACAGTGCCAAGGTTTTTCCGCAAAAAAGCTGTTTATTTAACGAATTGCATACCAATGACACCATCCCCATTCCTAATGTTTAATGCTAAAAATTAATTATAAAAATAATTTTAGCATTGTTGAAAAATAGTTATAAACATAATTATAACATCATTACAGCATTGTTAAAAATAATTAAATATAATATTACCATAATTGCAACATTGTTAAAAATTATTATAAATATAATTATAACATAATTTTAACATTGTTAAAAAGTAATTATAAATATATTTACAATACTGCTAAAAGACAATTATGAAAATAATTATATCATTATAACGTTGTTAAAAAAAGTTTAACATTGTTAAAAAATAAATATAATATTGTTTAATAACTCTTTTCAAACTTTTACGCAAATAAAAAAAAATTTGAAAATGAAATGAGTGACACATGTGTTACACTGATACCTCGTGAGTAATAGAAGGATGATTTGCCAAGAGTTTTCAAAAGAAAGAACGATAGTATCAAGAATAGATAGCTATAAGACTAGTAAATTGCTTTTTGTTCTTAATAAATAAGATCATATAAAAGTCAATTTATTCCTCTTAATTTCAATGGCGATGATACTCTTTTGGAAGAAATAACGCTCATGAAATTCTAATTTGAGAATATTTCAGGGGAATACATAATAAATACTGAATAGAAGCAGAAAAATACTGAAAAGAAGCAGAAAAATACTGAAAAGAAGCAGAAAAATCATTATATTTTCAACTTTTTCAGTATCGAAACTCAAAAAGGTCTTTCAAAAAAAGTAAATACAGGTAGAAGTGCCAAGATTTTTCCGCAAAAAAAGCTGCTTATTTAACGAGTTGCATACCAATGACACCATCCGCATTCTTAATGTTAAATGCTAAAAATTTATTATAAAAATAATTTTAGCATTGTTAAAAAATAGTTATAAACATAATTATAACATCATTACAGCATTGTTAAAAATAATTATAAATATAATTATAACATCATTATAGCATTGTTAAAAATAATTATAAATATAATTATACTATAATTGTAACATTGTTAAAAAATAATTTAGCATAATTTTAACATTGTTAAAAAGTAATTATAAATATATTTACAACAGTGCTAAAAGACAATTATGAAAAGAATTATAACGTTGTTTAAAAAAATTTAACGTTGTTAAAAAATGAATATAATATTGCTTAATAGCTCAAAAACTTTTCAAACTTTTCAAAACTAGCTTCAAACTTTTACGCAAATAAAAAAAAAATTTAAAATTAAATGAATCACACATGTGTTACACGGCTATCTCGTAAGTAATAGAAGGATGATTTGCCAAGAGTTTTCAAAAGAAAGAACGATAGCATCAAGAATAGATAGCTATAAGACTAGTAAATTACTTTTTGTTCTTATTAAATAAGATCATGTAAAAGTCAATTTGTTCCTCTTAATTTCAATGGCGATGATACTCTTTTGGAAGAAATAACGTTCATGAAATTCTAATTTGAGAATATTTCAAGGGAATACATAATACAATAACATCAAAATTTAAAACAATATCAAATACCATTATTTGTACATTAGGAGATTACAAAAGAATTTCAATTAATTTTTCTATAAAAAAAAGAAAAAAGAAAGAATCATAATTAGAGCTATGACGTTTATGATATAAAGAACTTATTTATAACCAAAATTAGTTTTCGAGCAAATAATTTTTCGAAAAAATTAAGTAACCGAAGATTTGAGCATCATTATTTTATCAAACTATGTCAACGTTGTTTATGATTTCAATTCATTAGTTTCAATAAATCAATACTTTTTTTAGATATATTCATTTTCAAAATTTGTTAAGTCCCAATCTTAATTTCACAGTATTAATATTAACAAAATTTTTAAAAAATAGCAATTTACAAGGATTAGTTCAAGTTCAACAGTATGTCTAAAGAAACGTAATCAAAGCTATTCACAGTATGTCTAAAGAAACGTAATCAAAGCTATTTACAGTATGTCTAAAGAAACGTAGCCCACAAGAAGCGAGTGAACATTACTTTAAATTTAAAGTTCTTAGGAACTACTAGATCGATTTCGCTCAATTGTATTTTGCCATTTGAAATTGCATTCCTTAAGATGATGTAAAAAATTGTATACCTTACAATTCAAGTTTTTAGGCTTTTGCTAAATAAAGTAATTAAAAAAAAAATCTTTACTAAAATTTACATTTTGTGTCATTGCATTAACATTAAGTGTCCTTAAACTTTGGACCACTATCCTGACCAGACTACGAGGACCATATTTCTTATATTACGGCTACCCCCTGTATTTGTAGGATAAGAAATCCATATCCATAAAAAAAAGCCATGTTTATTCAGAGAAAGTAAGTTTTTATATCAGATTTCATAACTTAAAATATCGTCCACACTACTAATAGTAATATCGCGCACGCACACTAATTAGTTAGCATATTTGAGGTCAAACCTTCGAACCATTAAGACTGAGCCTTAGAACGTGAAGATCTGATTATTCGATTAAAAGTTGTTAGGGAGGTCCGTTTATTTATTTTTTTTTTTTGAAGCCTCTTGATTTGAAACCTTTTGATTTTACATGATATCAAACCTTTCGATTTTCTCGTCTAACTTCCGCCCATTAATTTTCAAAATTTATCAGAAGCGGTGTTCAGATACTCGATAACGCTTATTTTACCCACAAGGCTTGATTTGCCCAGTTTTTGTTGATTTATTCTCGAACATTTTAAACATGGTAGACAGAAAATCCTCACAGGTACAGAGAAAAAGCAATTCATTCAGGAAAAAAATTGGTGAATGGAACGCCATTTTCCGTAAATGAATCGTGGTCGGACCGTTGTTTCCTGACAGCACGATTGACAGTTCAGCATCTCAGCACATTTTTATGCTATTTTTTAGTCTGTTTGATTACTCAAGAAGATGGAGTTTGTTTTATCAGGAATGAAGCATTGCCAAATACCTGCGCGACAATCTCTTTTTCATTTAACAGTCTTTTGGATACCTCCTGATTTCCAAGGGATTGTGGTCTCTCGATGATCGGGTTCGATTTAAAAAGTGTTGAGTACCGAAGAATCGAACCGTCACCAAATAAAAGGCAAAAATTTAACAACAACAACAAAAAATAACGCTACCCCACAAATGCTAATGATGTCTTCAGTAATTTTACTATGCTTGAAAAAGTATTAATGGTGGTCCCTTTCTGCATTTTTTGCAATTTGTGCTCAATAAGCATTTTTCTCATTTAACGTGAATATAGCAAGTTGCGAGTATGCTTTTACTAACAATAAATATTTGTTTTTGTTTCAATAAAGTATTTATTAACGTTGAATTAATTACATAAGAAGCTAACAAATTCGGAAGTAGAATTTATTTGAAACCTTTAACATCGTAAGAAAGTTCACCGCGAGTACAAAATGGCCTTTTCGTTAATGCAAGAAAATGTGATTTAAAAATACAAGAAGTAGAATTAGGTAAAGATATGAATGATAAACATAAAATTACCTATTTAAAAAAGATAATTTTGGCGAACAAAGAGTATGAAGTAAATTGTGTCAAAGAATTGTTGAAAACTGTAATAAATGAAAAGAAAGATAAAGAAGAATTTGAAAATCATAGACGCCAAGA